TAATTGACCTTGAAAACTGCGACCATCCCTTTTTACAAATCCCAACCAATAAATGGAATCTGCAATTTCAATTTCCTCTAACTACTCTAGACACAAATACTTATTTTGCAAAGATATTGATGTGTCAGTGGCAAATTCACTTGTTGTGCTATTCTGTTTATTATTCTTATACCAGACCTCATCCCAAAATAGTCCCGCACAAGATGCCACATGTGTCCCTCTAGCACTTCAGGAATTAAGAGCATATGGTCAGTAAAAATGGAATCCTCATGACTTCCGACTAAGTTACCCCGGGAAAGACGTCCATCCAACGTGGTTAGGAGCTCTTTCTTCGTGTCAGCTTTTGTTCTAAGCTTGACAAGACGTAGCAAGATAAAACTCAGCTGCACAACTGAAAACTTCTAAAAGTTCAGTATGTTAGCCCTGTCTCAGTCCATTTGGGTTGCTATAACAAAATACTAAAGATTGGGTGGCTTATAAATAACAGAAATTTATTTCTCAGGGTTTGGATTCTGGGAAGTCCAAGATCAAGGTGCTGGCAGATTCAGTCTGTGCTGAGTGCCTGCTTTCTGTTTCTTAGATGCCCGTCTTCTGCCGAGTACTCACAGGGCAGACGGGACCTGGGAGCTCTCTGGGGTCTCTCTTAACAGGGCACTGATCTCATTTATGGGGGGGGGGGGGAGGCTCTAGGGTCACACAAGGTGTGTTCAAATCCACCTTCCATTTATAAGCTGTGTAACCTCAAGCATTTACCCTTCCTCTCTGAGTCCCAATTTCCTCACTTGCAAAATGGTGATATACTTCACAGGTTATTGTACAGATTAGATAAAATAATAGATGCAAAGCTTTCCACAAACTGCCTGGCACATTGTCAGCACACTATATGTGTTAGCCATTAATTTTACTATGTTAGCAGACCCTCAACAAATACTTGTTGAAGGACAGATAATTGCATATGCTTTTGACGATTTTATCATGTTTCCAACAGCTAAAAATGGTTTTTTCTCTGGAATTGGGTAGAGTGGAGTAATGAATGACACTCCCCATTGCCCCCGATCTCTCTCCCAGATCACCCCCACATCAGAGCTCTCCCTACACCTTACACCAGAGTGTACTCTTCTGGATGCAGTCATATTCTTTTAGAGTCTCTATATCCCCCCAAGGAATGTCTTGAGCAGAAAGACACTTTTTCGTCCTAGCAATGGACAGAGTTACATTCTCACCATCCCTCCCTCACCCTCAGCCCACCTCCTCAGGATGACTGGGCTACCTTGTAATCATTACTATTATTAGCATGGGAAATATTTGATTGATTTAGCCAGGATTAAAGGAGTGAGCAGAAAAGGAAGAAGAAAGGAGAGGACCACGTTGTGCTCTTTCAAGGGTATGGGGAAATGTACAGCCAGGGGCCAGGTCGCATCTAATCTGTCAGGAGAGAGAGCTTGGGTTTCATCGGGCAGCAGGTTGTCTTTGAACCAAACCAAAAATGACCCATATGGCAAAGGGTTCATTGTATAAATGAAGCAGCCAACATGTATTGTATAAAGAGTAAGTCTAATGAGGAAGCATTTTCGCTTCCAAAGTAAAAGATTTCTGGACTCCTAGGGAAAGATGTAGGAGGTACAGAAGAAAAGATTTAGAAAGGTACAGAAAATACATTAATACTCACCACCATTTTCAAAGAGTTGGAGACTTCTTGGAGCATATTAAAACTATACTCAGGAGCCCCACCAAAATTTGAATACATCTCCTTTGGAATCTCATCACCACACACACACACACACAGACATATACACATCCCATGATGTGTCCCATGAAAATCACTGGTGTTGTGATCCATGGTTATCCATAGAAGTGTGTCTCATACATCAGGAGTGATGCCAGTGGGAAAGCAAGACTGAGAATCCATGTCTGGTGGATAGAGCCCTGGGCTAGGAGACCAGAAATCTTCATCTCAACCCAATCCATTTGTGACGTGGCAAATCATCCACTTCTTTGTTCTTTAGCTGCTCCAGCTGCAACAGGACCACAGCCACTTCTGTCCACTTCTCCTGTATAGGGTACTCATCAAGAGGAATAAGATCATATGCATAGAAACACTCTTCAGAAGAGGAGAACGTGTGCATACCTTATATCACAAATAGTGAGAATTGGATTAAAAAATTCTGCCAAGAAACCTTTGTCAAAGGCCAGGAAAGTATAATTCCTCTGTAATGATACCAGTCCTTTGTACTACCAAGGCTTTGGAAATATGAAGATGTTTCTAAGCAACAGGAGGTAAATATATAATTACTCTCTACTAAATATTTTCAAGAGCCTTGTTCAAGCTAGTTTTAACTTTATTTAAATAACAAGTCAAAGCTCCAAAATAGATATTAATTAAAGAAATCCCTTTCTATAGTAGATATTATATAAGCTTCTTCTTCCTTTATAAAGCATTTAGTTCACACTGAAGAAACAAGTGGTTTCTGATTACAAAGCATATTGGAAAATACAACCATGATTAGATAACGTGTGTTGGATAAATAACACTCGGTCATGTGAGTCAGCTAACTACGGTGGATATAAATATGTTTTTTTGAGTCATGCTGGCTATTAATCAGTGGTAACACCAATGAACAGAATGAAAAATTTTATCTCAAGCCGGCTGTTGAAGTGTTACCCATAATATTGCCCATTCATTCTCCATAAAATTAATCACATCACTAGCTTTGATAAGATGTCTTGGTTTCCTCTATCTTTGCTGGTTTCTTGCATACTGAACAGTGTTATATGAAGGAAGCAGAACAGCATCTCCTTTCAATTCTGCTTGTGATTTGAAACTTTGCTTACACGAAAGCCACACCTGGAATAATAGGTGGAGCCATCTCTGAGTCTTTCCTGAGCATATCAGGCCAGTTATATCAAGTAAGCATTGTCATCAGTAAAAAGTACACACTGTTTTCTGCATCACTCTGCCTGATGGCATTCTTCTAGAAAAGCGTCAGCAGCATGGGGTCAATATCTTGACTTTACAGAACAAGAGCCCAACTTACCATCTCACATTGTGCTCCTTAAACCTACTACCTATTCATGTCCAGGTTCCAGAATGGTTCCCTCCCTTGAGTGTTAGAGCCCCAAAAGAATCAGTAAGCAATCAATAATTATTAACAAATGCCCTTTTCACAAATTGGGCACTGACTTAATCTGTCTATGTGGATTTTTATTTGGCTTCTCTCTAAGACAAAATATTCTTTCTACACTTGAGGAGATTACAATCTAGTGCGGAGGTCAAAACATATACTTAGAAAATTAAATAACCATGCAAAATATGATAATGTGGCCGAAGTGTAAGAAAAGTCAAAAAAAAGTAATGGATTGAATGCTAAATGAATGATATTGAGACCAGTGATTCGCAAACTGTGCTCCAGGCAACCCCAGGTGTTCAGGTGCTCACAGAGGGAGTTCTCAAGGCTGCAGCAGAAAAGAATAGAAACACCAAATAAGTGGAGCTTCAGCCAAGCCCCTATCCTGGCTTCCACCTCCACCAGAGGAACTCTTGGGTTTTTGTTTTCTGTTTTTGTTTTTTACTTTCTATAGTAGATCTTAACGTACAATTTCATGTCAAGGAAAAGCTTCAAGTTTATTTTTTTAAAAACTAATGATATATTTTTAAATGCTATAAATTTCAAAATCACATGGTGTAATCACTCTTATAGTTGAGGTGTCAGAAAGTTTCTTGGTGGAAGAGGAGTGAAGACTTGCCCCATGTAGGTGATTTGGATAGTTACAAAGCTCCCAGTTTAATGGTTTTTATACATATACGAAGACGCCTGAACAAGAGGCAGTCCAAGAGTCCAAGAGTGCTGGACCGTGGTTAGGGTGTGGTATCCTGTAGTCTAGACTAGGCAAAGGAGATAGTGTCACTGGATGATTTAAGAGGCATCATCTTGCTGAGCAGCCATATCAATATCTACACAGACAGCCATCATTTCCTAGAAAGAATCCACGTATACAGATGCAAGACGGAAAACTCAAGGGAGAAGAAGTTTCCCAGTAAATGCGCAGAGCTTGACTGGCCTGAAATGGAGTCAGTGTGGGTGGGGTTCCTGGCCTAGCTTAGGCAAACATCAGAGCTAGATAGATCAGTTTCAGAATCTAAGAATAAGAGTCCTGGCTTGCTAAGAAACACTGGAATGGCAAAACATGAGGATTGGGTCCTCCTCTCCCAAAGATCCTTTACTCTTGAATTAGGTAGGCACTCTCTATACAAAGAGATGAGCAGAGAAAGCTCTAGAAGATGTCCTGAGGCCATTTCTTTTTTCAGCTGACCTTTGGACCTAGGAACCAGAGGGATATCAATTCTGCTCTTATTGCCTGAAGAGACAGAGTTGTAAGAGGTCAAACACAGCCCTTATAGCATTTGCACTTAATAACAACAGAATTGGTGTGTATTATCTGAGCATAGATGATATTTTTCTAGATTACACAAAGAGAGCAAAATAATATACAAACAGATAAACATTCTTGGGCTGCAAGCACAAAAAAATAGATAATTTAAGCATTAAAAAATTATTAGGAGAATGCAAGAGTTTCTTGTAGAATTAAAGATGACAAACAACCAACTCTAGAAAGGACAAGAGCAGGGCTGAGATTTGCGGAATCTCAGCTGCAGAAGCCTGAGGATCCCCTCTCTAGGGCCGCCATTAAGGGTTCAATATGCTTCCATATCTGTATGATTCCAATCACATTTTTTCAAATTCTCAGGAAAGAAAGTACGACTGACTATTACCAAGGAGTTTCAATCCTTGACACAATCATCTATGGCAAGGAGAAAGGATGAGTGGAACAAGGAGAACTCTGTGAGTGGGGAACCTTCCACAGTAGGTGACTATTGCATCTACCATTGTTCACTGCTCTAAGAGTGATGGAAGAGACATCTAAGATGTACTGGAATATGATGAACTAGGTCAGCCAAATATAGTTGTCTTGATGACAGTGCTTTTGAAAAATAGAAACAAAGCAAGTTTCTCTGCTGTAGACTATATCATAGAATGCAATAAAGAGATGAGTGCTCCTCCAAGGTGTTCTTATAACATGACTGTGCTGATCTCATTATTGTACATACTATTATAATTGCCTATTTATCCGTTTTTTTTTTTTTTTTTGGCCCTAGACTGGAGGCATCTCAAAGAGAGGGACTGATTCTGGCCTGGCCCGGTGGTGCAGCAGTTAAGTTCGTGTGCTCTGCTTTGGTGTCCCGGGATTCAGAGGTTCAGATTCCAGGCACAGACCTACAAACCGCTTATCAAGCCATGCTGTAGTGGCATCCCACATATAAAATAGAGGAAGGTGGGCACCGATGTTAGCTCAGGGCCAGTCTTCCTCAGCAAAAAGAGGAAGATTTGTGTCTGATGTTAGCTCAGGGCTAATCTTAAAAAAAAAAAGATAAGGACTGTTTCTTTTCACTTTTGCATCTTTAATTACTGTACCACAGTTAGATTATCAATAAACATTTCTTAAATGTCAAATGAAAATCATGCCAATCAGACTCAGAATGGATGTAGCTATTGGTCAGACTAAAGAAAGGTATGTGTTCTCCAGGCAAGGGATTTGAGCAAAATAATAGGAGAATACAGGAAGATGGGACCCTTAATCCAGGACTCACGCTATGAATGTAGTTGGGAGGTAAATTAGAAATCAGTCACACAGTAAGCTCTGGGAAGCAGATCTCCACAACACAGGCTGAAGCAAATGAGCCCTTGGAGGTAGACCCCGTCTCTGCCCATCTCGGTCCCTAAGGCAGGGCCTAGCTGATCTTGTTAAAGGTCGGGGCTGTTATCTCGGGATAGGTTCTGCAACACCATTTGCTGGGCCTCTTCCGTGTATACTTCCTCTTCTAAATATGCGTCCTAAAATGGAAGAAGTAAATGGGGGTGGGGTGCGGGTGGGGGAATGCAGTGTGGTTACCTTTGAGCCTCATTCCCCACCCAAAGAGAAATAGTTAACATTTTACTTACTGTATAATGCATCTGTAAACTGCTTACGTAAAATCCAATTTCCAGGCAATTTAATTATATCTTCTACTTCCCAGGAGGGTTTCTTCCACTCTAGAAGTGGGGAGCTTTCCTTTGTTAAATCAAGAGTCAAGTTAATCAGAGCCCTCCCACTCCCCATAGAATTCAATGATAGCAAAACCATCTCTAGTCCAACTACCACTGAGGCGCACTAGAAACCACTGCTTCTTTGAAGAATGTTGCCAATATCCTTGACCCTTCCCCAAATACTAGAAAAAGTTCAGGTCATCAGTGATCATCTTTAGAATTAATTGACGATGTCTTCTCCTGAATCATACTCATCTACTCAGAATTTTTTTAAGGTGAAGGAACACGGGTTACAATAGAATGACTATGACTTCTTTGCGTAACTTCTTAACAATATCGCTCATGCTAATTAATTGCCAGATCTTTGGAATATGATCAAAGCCAAGTCCCTTAGTGGCCAGGATGAAGGTCCACAGCTGGTGCGGAAAACAGGGACTAGAGCCCAGGAGAAGAAATTCCATCTGTCCTGGTAGGGAAACACAAAGAGAGAATCTGGGTCAGGAGGAAGGCAGTTTCTACAGCAACATTAGCATCAAAGAAAAGGATGAGAATATTATTAAATATAGAATAAATACATAAAATGTAACATATTTGAAACCAAATAGCAACTCTGTCCTTTAAAAAAGCATTATATTGCCTTCTTGGGAAGCATAGATCTAAAATTATAATAATTCAGATCGCTTTAGGTTCCACTCAGAAACATTTTGTTAAAAGATTGCCTTACATCATATTTGAGCATATAAGCAGACTTTTACCAAATATAGACACAAGGATCATAAACTGAAAATAGAAACCAGAAGACAGACTCAGGGGAAACCAAGGGAATATTGACATTGTATTACGCTTGGAAGTGAAGAAATAGAAACGTATAGTGATTTACTACGTTTACATAAGAGTAAAGAATTAGGTGAAAAAATATTCAAACTATCAGAAATAGTTAAGACATTTTTTGGTAATAAGTAAGGAAGAAGATTTATTTAACTTTGGAGAGCGCTGGCAGAAAGAGACTAAAATGAGAAACAATAATGTCACGTATTAACTTTGTTCTTAAACATCCACATTTAATGTATCAACTTTGGCTGTTGTTATATGCCTTGGCAATTCAATAAAGTTACTGAAATGGAAAATTGAAAATTTTTATTGTGATATTTCCAATTTCTCCACTAGTAGAATAGTTTAATATTAAGCCATTGCATATGCTTTCAGCATGCTCATTAAAATGAGTGAGCTATCATTTTTCTTTCTATTCCTAGTTATCAGCAACTTTATTTACCAGTGCAGATTAAGCAGAACACAAAGTTCAGCTAACCATTTGTAGGTGTACTTTCTAAACAGGCAAGTATTATCTATTGTAACAGCATCAAGTTTTAAAGCTGGAAAGAATCCTAAGTGGTTTTCATATTCCATATTTCATAGTATCAGTGAGGAAACTGAGGCTCAGAAAGGTTAAGTAACTTTTCCTAAATCAATAGCTAGTCAATGGTAGAGTAGATGTCATGCTTCTAGAATGTTCTATTACAGCAGACTATCCTAGAGTCCAAATGTTATTTCAGTAGTAGCTGTTGAACATTGGCCTATACATTCCTGTTTGGAAAAAAAAAAAAAGGCCATAGAGGAGCCTTAATTTATTGAAACCCTACTTCAGCCTTATCACAAGGAATTCAAGATTGGAACGGATATTTTCCTTTTGACTTTTATAAGCTTTTTCATGTTTAATGTTCTATAAAATGTCTCTTTGCATTCATATCAGAGTCGTGGAATATCGACAACTCCCTAATTTGTAAGGTGATATCTTCATAAAGCTGCGTTAATTTCTTTGTTGGTCCTTGCAGAGTAAATCTACTTCTAATCTGGTACCTGCCATTAAGCGGCCCATATCACTAATTTATTTCCCTTTTAATCAGCAATTTGGGCATGTTTTCTTTGGCTCAGGCACTACACAAAACATTTCTATTAACTATTCACCCTCCTGAGGCAGTGGGCTTGATGGGAAAAGGAACAGAGTAAAGCTGAAAGAACCAGGGGTGGATCAACTCTCAGTTCAGTTGCCAGTAAGCCGTGTGACCTTGAGCAAATCATTTATCTTCTCTGAACCTTTATCCATGTGTAAAATGGAAGAGGTCAATTTCATGATCCTTAAGATCTAAAATTCTGCATTTCTAAATTGGTAATTTTTAAGCCAACCTTAACAATAATTATTATGCAAATACCCTAAACTTTTATCCCATTGACCTCAATATACCTGGTACGTATTTCAATCCTAGCACTGAGACAAGTAAATAAACTACAGCAAGATAGGGTATCTCCCTTACTAATGTGAACTCCATAAAAGGTTAATTCATTTTTACAGGCTCAGTGCCTGGCAGAGTTGACATTCTATAAGTGTTTGATATATGGATGGGTGGATGGGTGATTGCCACAGCATAACAGTAAGAAGAGCTTAAGTGTGTGAGTTTACATTATCTCTGTAAATAGCCCAGAGATCATTAACCTGAACCTTGTCAGAGGAGCTAGCACTTAGACGTAATTTTGTCTGCTTACAGCATAATGGACTTCACACTACGTCTCTTATAGCCTGATCTCTTCCTGCCTAATCTTAGACTCTTAACCTTCCTTCTTGACCATAAGCTTTTGGAGAGCAAGATCTGTGTTTGATTCATCCCATCATTCGGTACCTATTCATTGCACTTAGGAGGTCTCCCATCAATTTTCACTAATTAATTGAATTTAAAAGGTTAGTTTCAATGTAATAGTGGCCAAACAAAATAAATGACACATTTTGTAACAAAGTAAAATTTTTTCAGGGAAAACGGTTTAGAACAAGTTATTTGTGATGATAAAATTCAGACTTTCTGCCCTTTCAACCTTTATTAAATTCAAAATTTCATCCCTATAAAAGTCACTCATTCCCTGTGACTTTATTTTCCTTCATATATGATCAGTTCATAATTAGTGTAATATAATTAGATATAATCATAATTGTAATGTAATCTAACAGGATCTCACAGAGGAGAGGAAGCATGAAGAGTACTTCAGTCACAGTTCCAAAACAAAGGTCACAGTAGAGTTGTATTTTGTGGTTTCAGTTTATATAAAACCCAGTGGCATAACAACAGTGTTCCCTGTGCCTTGCATGCTAATTATCTCTATGTTGCTTCAATAGATTCTTTGTCAAATGTTAATAGTCCACTACTCTGAGTGATATGGAATACCACCAGACTAATGACTCCTAGTGGGATGTCCTGCCCTCTTTTGACTTATTATCACGTGATTCCAAGGTATTTACTTTAGGAAGACATCGTTTTGTTCTCAGCCATGTCCATTTCTCTGGTCGAGGGATTCTTTCCCTACATGCAGTTCTCTTTTTCAGGCTACATAAGTTTCTTGATTGCTATCTCATAATTTTCACACATTCACAATTCCATATTGGCATAAACAATCTATATTAACACACACATAATGTTATTATTTTCTAACTCACTTTTTAAATAGTCATCACAACTCTAATTATGCTATTAATCCACTACAATTATACTCATTATTACAAATATGATTTGTTCATGGGAATCTTCATTATTATAAGCAGTACTTTACGTTACTGTTATAAAGGCCACCAATAAGCCATAATTGTTAGAAACATCCTGAATGTATTTACTCCTTCTTCATCAGGTTCCACACAATCAACATGGACATATTTATGTCTGTGTAAACTTCAGAGCAACCAGATAATCCCTTACTCCTAAAAAATTACTGTCATGTTGATTAAAAAAATAGCTAAGATTTATTGAGTACTCACCATGTGCCAGTCACTGTGCTAGCACTAAATGCATTAGCATAAATTATCTCATTAATGTGCCCAAGGATCCTATGAGGCGGAAGCTTTAATTAATCCCATTTTACATAAGAAAACTGAGGCCTAGGGAGGCTGGGTAATTACTCAATTGTTTCCAGGTAATAAATGAAGGTGCTAGGACT